TAAATAATTACTTTATATTTTGCTTTATTTTTAATTTTATTTAGTAAATGTCCTACGAGCCTCACACTCCCAACCAAAATCAGGTCAATTCAACTCTAATTCAGGGCTAAATACGGTTTGATTATCCTTATTATAGGTTTTAACCCGAATTAAACTTAAAACTTGTCCCCCACCATATTTAAAGATAAACCTGTTTTTAGTAGTGGTTAGTTTAGTTCAATTATTAAAAGGATTAATAATGGGATTATCTAATCCTTCATTCTCTTTCGTGGTAGCATAAGCATTTAAAGTCTTAAAAACATTCTCAATATTAGCATTAGTTTGTCGATAACCTCACTCTTCCACTATTAGATATTTACAAAAATCATCGGTCAATTGATTAGCATAATGAGCCGTATCATTATCACTTCTTAACTTCCCTTTTAATTTACTCATTACATAACCGACCCTCTGCTGATAAGTAGCCAATTCAATATTTACCATCTCGGCTCTATTTTGAACGAAGTCTGGCACTTGGTCAGCATAATTGGCAGTGCAGAGTAAGAGACAATCGGATAAATCGACCCGATAACCTAAAAACTGGTCATACCAATCTTTATTTTTTTTGATATCTAATACATTACCTAACATCATGGCTAATCCTTCATCAGCCACCTTTTCAAACTCATCCAAAAGAATAATCCCTCCTCGATTTTTACCAATACTAATTCCTTGGCATAGTCGGCCAGGATAAGCAGCCTTGACACTGGGACTAACCCCTTCTAATATTCCGGTATCTTTCCGTCCTCCTAAATCCACATTGATTAAGGGTCTTTCCATGGCTTCGGCTAACATTTCACTAATAAAAGATTTACCGATACCAGGAGGGCCTAATAAAACATAAATAGTTTGTTCGGTTTTTTTGCCTTGTCTAATATCTTTGGCTAAGTTCACTAAATATAGCCTCATTTTGTTTTTAAACTCCTGATAACCAACTACTTGGTTCATTACTTCTTCAAACTTGGCTAATTGGGGAACATTTAAATCTTTTTCTCAGGCTTTAATTAATCCTTCGGCCAATTCTTTTTGCTTATCAATGGCTAAGGCTGTTAAACTACCCACGGGGGCTTTTTCTTTCTCTTTCCGTTTTAAGTATCGGGTGATTTGTTCTAAATAAAAGTTTTGTTGGGTCGGAGTTATTGAGGGAGTTTGTTTAGCAAAAATTTCTTTTCATTCTTCCCAGGTTATTTCACTACTATCATCCACTTTTTTCTTTTTAGGAGGAATAAATTGGGCTTCTTCTTCCTCTTCTTCTAGTCTGGTGGATATTCATTTTCTTCTTCCCGAAGGTAATTTCAGGATGTAGCCACTGGCTCCAAATACTTTTATAAATAAGAATTGATAACTTTTGGGGTCAAAATCTAATTTAAATCCTTGGAAGGCTGATAATAATTTTCCCAAAAAAGTTTTATCTCCTCAACTTTCAGTTTTGTCATAAGTATCTTTATATTGAATACTTCCATCCTCATTACTTATTCTTCTTCCTTTGGTAATTTCTCTTTCAATAGTTTTTAATTCCTTTTTTTGCTGTTTTAATAATTGGGCTCGGCCATAAGTATCAGAGACCATGTCTTCTCCTTGGGTGTAGGGAATATTAATGAAGTCGGTAGATTGAGGAGTTGCCTTAATTTTTTGGTTTTCTTTGCTGTGTTCTACTTTGCTTTCTTGTTTGAAGAGGTTTTTATCTTTTAAGGTTTTGTGAACAAAAATGATAATTTCTTGCTGTTGAGAGTTTCGGATAATGTCGGTGGTGGCTTGACCAAAGAATTTGCCGTAAAATACTCCTTCTTCGGGTTCATAATGGCTACTACCTCAATAATGGTATAAGTTATGGAGAAGGGAGACAGCAATGGTTCGGGTGATTAAGTCTTTATTGGTGTCAAAATATCCTTTTCGGTATTCATTTCAGAAGTCGTTATAGGTGGGGTATTTATCTTTAATAGTTGGCATGTTTAAAATTGTCAGTATTCATCTTTTTCTTTAATAATATCTACTCTTTTAATACAGTAATCACAGATTTTATTAATCTTAGTGGGGTCAATGCCTAGTCCGTTTACTCTTTCTCGGTGTAATTTGCTTTTTTTATTTTGCTCACAGATATCACAGGTGAAGAAATAATATTTTTGGGGTTTAGTTTGAGTGGCTTGGTCGTGGGTGGCTTTTAATGGACTTTCTTTAATTTTCAACTCTTCAATAATTTTGGATTGCTCTCTGATTTTACGGTTAGCCTCTTGGAGGGCTTGTTCTAATTCTTTATTTATCGGTTCTTTTTTTTGCTCTTTTAAATTATCATTTTCAGCCGTTAGTTTTTGGAGACTTTTTAAATAATTAGCAGCTATATTAGACCAATATTGGACTTGGTTTTGTAATTCTTGGTTCTTTTCTAATCAGATTTTATTTTTTTGTTGTTCAGACTGATTATTGTTGTTAAGATTGGGAGGAGGTGGGGGAGTAGAGATAGATTTATCACTGCTATCACTTTCATATCCCTCATCTTTTTTAATATTCTTTTCCTTCTCTTTTTGCTTTTTAATATCACTAGGCTTTATTCCCTCTTTTATCTTTTCTTTTAATTCTTGTTGTAATTGGTCTTTATTCATAACAGTAAATAATATCGTCATCATTAATCTTCTATCTCTTTATCTTCAATATCGAGCAAATCATCATCATCCAAATCTGTTCCACATTCTCTAATAAATTCAGGTGGTTCGGATATTTCACATTTTTCACACTCTCAATCTCTTTCACATTGACAATGGTTTAGGCAGTAGCCACAATTATTACATTTATTCATAGTTATTTAATAGTCTTTTGGTGTCATTCCCTTTTTAGAGGGTCATAAAAATATATCTCTTGTAGTTCTTGGTTGGGAGTGTGAGGCTCGTAGGACATTTACTAAATAAAATTAAAAATAAAGCAAAATATAAAGTAATTATTTA